TCGCCTGGTCACAGGTTATACTGCTTAAAATCATCTGTTCTTTTGAGGTATTGATTTGATCATACATCTTGGTTGAAAAGTAGAATGGTTTGTGGGTTGATAGAAGACATTTTATGAAGGAGGGAAATGTGTCATTCACTCAAAGAGTATTTCTAGCTTTTATGGAAGCTTTAAGTAATTCTGCCTCATTTTCCTCAGACATTTGAAAAGTTCTTAGAACACTCCAGGTTCATGATAATGAAGTAGAACTTATAGTTAAGAAGGGAAGTATGTTTAATCTTTGGTTTGGAGCAATGTATTCTAGGCCACTGCTTTATAAATAATATGGTATGACAAAGCAATATGGATAAAGTAATTAGGGTTCAGTGTCTGTAATACTGTTTCCTAAAACATTTTAGTACAGCACTGAATATTAAGTGCCCTATGACAAGCATGGTTGGAAATCCACCCATGAACTTGGTTGTTGTAAAGGGAAACAGGCCTTCTTCCCCTCTCTGTGTCTTCCATTCCCCTAGTCTGTTTAGTGAGCTGTTTTCTCCTGGTAACCATTGGCCTCTGATCTGCTGGCACTTCTTGTTCCTTGGCTTATGGGTCAGTTCACAGATGTAAAAACCTTGGCCAACTTCTCCCCTTTCAATTCCTGTCCCTCCCTTGCCCGGTCACAGGCGTGATTGCTACCACTGCCTAAGGTCCAGAGTGACATTCAGGCTTCCATCTGAAATGGTCACTTCCTAGACTTTATAGTGGGGAGGTAACCTTCATGGGTGCAAGGGACAGTAAAGCTGGCTTGTACCACCCTTTAGATGGTAGCAGCTTAAGAATAAAAGCGATGGCTTGGCGCCTGTGGCTCAAGCGGCTAAGGCGCCAGCCACGTACACCTAAGGTGGCGGGTTCGAATCCCCAGCCCGGGCCCGCCAAACAACGATGACTGCAACCAAAAAAATGGCCAGGCGTTGTGGCAGGCGTCTGTATTCCCAGCTACTTGGGAGGCTGAGACAGGAGACTCGCTTGAGCCCAGGAGTTGGAGGTTGCTGTGAGCGTGATGCCATGGCAGTCTACCCAGGGGGATAGCTTGAGGCTTCGTCTCAAACAAAAAGAATAAAAGTGATGTCTCACTTGTGAAGCCCTTGCCTTCCAAGCATGTGGTAAGGACCAGTGGCTGGAGTTAGCAAAGCACTTTGCCCTTCTCAGATAAGCATTGTCAACAGAATTTTCACAGTGACCACACTCAGGATGAATAAAGCTTTTAATAAAACAAAACAAAACAAAACAAAACAACAACAACAACAACAAAAGAAATCAGTGTATCTAGAAGATATTTGCACTTGTGTGTTTATTACAGCACTGTTTATAATAGCAAATATATAGAAGCAACCAAATTTTCCCTCATTGGTTGAATGGGTAACGAAAATTTGGTATGTACACACCATGGAATACTATTTGGCCATAAAAAGAGTGAAATCATGTATCTGCAACAACACGGATGGGTCTGGAGGTTATTATGCTAAGTCAAATAAACCCCCAAATGAAAATTGTATGTTCTCATGTGTGCAGGGGCGAAAAAAATTGATTTCTTGAAGATAGAGAGTATAGTGTAACTGATACCAGAGGCTGCTGGGAAGGGTGTGTGGTGTTGGTGGAATAGAGATTGGTTAATGGGTATGTAGTCAGATAGAATAAGTTCTATTATTTGATAGCAGAGTAGGGCAAATTTAGTTAATAGTTAATACACTGTGTATTTCAAAATAGCTAGAAAAGAGGACTTTAAATGTTCCTAACACATAGAATTGATAAGTATTCAAGCTTGTGGATTCCCTAAATGTCCTGATTTGATCATTACATATTTTGTGCATGTAAAAAAACATGGTGTGTAACCCATAAATATTTCCAAGTATTAAGTATGAATAAACAAAAGCACTGGGTTGTCTGCAGTTAGGTATAGTGTTCCCTACACAGTGATGAAGTCAAGCCTGTTAAGTGCTCAGATTTTTAAATCTTTACAGCATTGTAGCTGTATTGAAAAGCAAAGCAGTACACATTAACATTTCATGATAGTATTGTGCCTTTGCTCATTATTCATCATAGTTCTGTGATTTTCCTTTATGTATTTTGAAGTCATGTTTTTAGGTGCATGCACATTTATAATTGATGTATTTTCTTGGTGAATTCAACCTGTATCCTTTTGAAGTGTTTATCTCCAGTAATGCTGCTTGCCTTGAAGTCACTTTGGTCTGTTTATTAAGCTTCATCATTATTTTTTCAGTTGCTTTGATGTTCTCACAAAGCATCATGTTTTGTTTTTGCTGTTTACTTTCATCTCTACGCTATCATTTTATTTTAAATATGTCTCTTTTAAATAGCATGTGTGCATGTATTCCAATCAGAATATTTTTGTCTTTTAATCATCTTTTAATTCAAGGAAATTGCCTGTGAGTGAACTGAGATGGTTATTGTGGTAATAATATGGAAATTATTACATATTATATATAACATTATTTATAAAAATAATTTAATGTCCTTTTGTCAATACTTACATTTATAGAAAGCTCTTAGAGAAAAGAATAGTGGATGCCATTAGTTTTGATAACAAAATGTGGTTATTTACTAATGCAAAGGCAAAATGTCTATAGAGTGACAGGACAGCATATACCCAGAGGAGAAAACAACCAGTATGGGGTATTTTCTGAGCTGGTGATGGACAGCAATGATACAATAATAAAAATTAAAATAACAGGATAGCACAAGGGAGTTTAAACAGTTATAAATCATGACTTTAAATCGATAAAAATTGCTCGTAGGAGCACATCTGATCGTTCTAGAAAGTAATTATAGTGATGCTTCACTTTGTACTGTGAGATACCTTGGCGGACAGAGCCTAAATAAACTATTGTGTTTAGATTTTTACAGAACATGCTTAAAGATAAATTTTTAAAAGAGGTGCAATTTTACTTTATTTTAATGATTTTAGAAAAATCTTTGTTTCCACAACCAGTATCCGGTCAGGCAAATAAAGTACAAACACGCACAGTTACTACAGCAATTATTTTATTTTATTATTTTTTTTTATTGAATGGTAACTATGTACATTAATGCATTTCTGGGGTACAGTGTGGTGTTTTCACATACAATTTGAAACATTTCATCAAACTGGTTAACATAGCCTTCATGTCATTTACCTAGTTATTGTGCCAAAACGTTCATATTCTACTCTTAGAAAG